GCGAAAGGGACGTGACGTGTTTCGCCAAGCAGACTCTCATAACATGAAATGGTACTCGTTCTATGGGAGAAAGGTTGAAACACACAACCCACATACACACAGAGAGGGAGAGAGAGAAATATAGATCATTGCATATATGTACAATAGATGATTGGTTCAGTACGCATTCCAGAAGAATTACTATCTGGCAAGAGTTTGATCAAAAAGTAGCACTATATCGTCCAGGCGAGGACCAATTGTAGGATACTCTAAAATGAGAAAAATTATGAATATCATATGCGTGTGTGCATGGGCCCCTGAAGACTGAATAGGTAATCCGATGCGGCTTAAACCCAACTGGTAGAATCAGAGTGTACACTGTACAAAGGCTTAGGCGACATCCTGGAGTGTCTTCACACTCCAACGGGACCGCGGATCTTCTCGCCATTCGGTGAGTCAGGAACCAGCCCGTGATAGCTGTTTTTTTTTAACAGATCCGATCACTTTCATGCCCAACGCTAGGCAGACAAATTGAGAATCGATGGTATCGCTGACGTTCGGTATAATACTACGCCTAACCTAGCGTAGCCTAATGTGATTCAGCATTCCCACTACCGGGGATTAGGTTGCCGATTTCTCAAACTGAACAACGGGTCCTCGTGACCACGATTTCTAACCCGTCTATTGTTCGTTACATCACACACTCAAATAATAATAATATGTATGAGAGAAAAACTCTAAGCCATGAAAACATCGGAGAGATAGTTGTTCGTTGATCAGTTGTTTTTTTTAATGGTGTCATTGCGTTTAGTATACTCAGAGCTGCAAAACTTGCGTTTGAGACACTGGGGGGAACTGGGGAAAACAAAAAACTCAGGTGGATCCAAACCCGAACAAGGTCACCATCGTGGTAGCACAGAACGAACGAGGGAAGAATTATGCATTACCTCAACAATGAACTCGTAGCTAGGTTTCTCGAACACGGGCGGACAATCGTTGATATCCAAAATACGCACACGGACTAGGGTGTGACTGGTCAATGCAACCGGTTTGCCCCGATCGGCCACAGCAGCGACTAGCCAGTATTCACTAACCGATTCCCGATCCGGTTCGAATAGGATGGCTAAACGACCGGAATCCGGATCGACCCGGAATCGCGGTCGATTTGGTGCGGTCGGTGCGGTCAACAGTTCGGTGTCTGGGGGCAATTCGGCACGATTCAGACGAGTGAACCATTGTGTGGTATCATTCTCACTGAGCAGTGTGTACCATAAACGCCCATTGTCACCACTGTCTGCATCCACGGCGCTGAGCTATGAACGAAAATGGTGAGAGACGTGCGACGAAAGATGACGACTATGTGCACATCAAATGGTAGTGAATGGTGAGTGTGATGCCTTCAGAAACATCAATTAAATATTTGCGATAAATTATAAACAGTTTCCGATATATCAAGAGGAAACTAAATTATATAACAAAAACGGTGGAATAGGGATCTTAATATTGATTAAAATGCGTAACTCTGGATAAGAATGGACAGACAAGAGTAGCATAACACATCAGGATGGACTATGCTCACACAAATGCTTACATTATCCGCAATCGGTCTGTGTTGCTATAACAATCGATGAGAGACTAGTAAAGAGACACACAAATACGCCTCCGATGAGATCATGAATGTAATTTGCGGGACCCTGAATTCCTAAGGGATTTTTTATATTTATGTTGATCAGTCCGTAGGAGCTCAGATAGATCTCTGGCCACTGCGAATCTACTTGCTCGGTACCGTGGCTCTCCTCATCCCGTTTGAAGACTGATATTGTATAATCATGATCAAAGCGGTCGATCGATCGCAGCTGCACGCGCAGTATACCCTTGCAATGACAAAAACTATCACCATAATCCAGCCATCCTTCGTCTGTTTTTCGCGTTGTATTTCTGTTATTTTAAACGCAGGTGAGCGAACCAAAAGGTGTGTCCACTGAATTGTCTATTGGTGGTGAAGTGATCCCACGTATACGGGGACGTAAAAGACCAGAACGGTTATGTGATAGGACAACCCCCCGCCAAGCGTGTATAAAAGGACGAATTTAGTCGCGTGGATAAAGAAGATATAAAAGAGTATAGACACATCAGACAACAAACAGTGCATACGGTTCAGCAAAACAATGCAGAAGGAAAACCGCGGTACATCAGGCGAGAGGAAGGGAGGGATAGGGGGGGATAGTACATTTCTAATGAACAATCCGAATCAGACAAAATCGGACGCACGAAGAACAGGTTGAAGATTTATGGATCACGTTTCCCACATGCCACGAGTGTAAACGCTCAGATGATATATCGCTCCGTCCCGAATATAGTGATAGACTACTACTACCACCACCACCACCATAGGTTGCATCCCGAGAAGTAAACGTGGACTATAGTTTTTCCTATGAAAGGAGAAAGACAGGCA